AGAAATATTGAAAAAAAAAAAAAAAAAAAATGTAAACAAAAATTATATAATAAAAATGAATGCCTGCAAACCCTGTAGATAGTTAGTAATCTAATTTAATTGTAGCCCTTTGCCCCTCAATTGCCATGTTTCCATTAAATGACTAGCGGTTTTAGTGGGTGACTATTGTATAGAACCATAGTTATAAAAATAAAAAATAATAAAATAAAAAAAAAGTATAAATATTTCAATGATTAAAAATGAATAATAAATATAATCTGAAATTTTGTAGGACTGGTTACCATGTCAGGACAGGGAAGCGGTAGCACAAGCAGCTTGATGCAAGTGCTAGGTATGCCTGGTGGCTATCAATCGATGGAGTGCGAGTCTTCACCCCGTCACTCGTCAAGCCGTCGTGTAATGACCACTGGCTATCCATCGTCAGCATCAGCCTCCATTGATGCACCCGCGTCCGGGCCAGCGTCCATACAATCAATGGACAACAATTCCCGAATACAAAGCTCTCTTGGCACTTATAATAGCCTTATACTACCTGGTATGGCACATCTACCAAACATAATGACATCCCCAATGATACCGCAACAAAATTTTTATAATTACGGATATACTGGCGCCGATACACACGGTATTATACGACAACCAGCCTCGGTAACGACGGGCAAGCAACGTGATCCTGAACGAGAAGACAGTCCCATGGTTGGCGTATGTGTCCAGCAAAGTCCGGTCGCCATACATTGAATTTATTATTTTAAATTTACATGACTAATTTTCGTCGTAATAATAAAAAATAAACAAATATACATATATATACATATATCTATACATGCAATTATATGTACATGTATATATATGTATATATATTAAATCAATTATAGGAACAATAATAATAATAATAATTATTATTATTAATAATGACGATAATTTATAATATTAGATAAACAAGATGACACCTATGTTGTAATAAAAAAATTAAAATTAAAATTAACTGGAAGAAGAAAATAAAAATGATGATGAAAAAAAAAGAAGAAATGAAAAGAAAACAATGATTATTATCAAGATAATGATAATCATGATAATAATAAGAATAATAGTAATTATGAAAATAATAATAATAATTATAATGATTATAAAAATAATAATAATGAATTAATAATAATAATCATAGTAATAGTAATTATAATAATTATAATAATAATAATAATAAAATTATTACAATAATGTAACACACGACAGTCAGTTAATCAATGGATTTCTTCACTGGGATTTAAATAATTAAATCTCAATTGTCAATACAATAGACGGCGTGAATCTTGCACTATGTGCTAGTTTAACAAAAATTGGAGAATATATATATATAATATAAAAATTTATATATGATAATAAATGAAAATGAAAATTCTGAAGCTTAATATAACCCTGTGATGACTGAAGCAGAGGCTGAAAATGATGTTAATTATTTTTTAAGTAAACAAAAACAACAAGTTATTTAAAAATGAATAAATTTGTCTTTTTGATATCGATTTTGTTTATTTATTATTATTGTTATCATTATTATCATTATTTTGTTTTTATCAACATGACCAGCCCATTGTTGGGCGTAAACGATAAACCCAGGGGTAAATAAGTGAAAAGAATTATCAAAGCACCGTCTGTTACGACACGGCCTATGTGAGGATGAACCCAACTGGCCTCTCGGGTCCTGCCCGATAATAATCAACCTTCACAAAGCTGATTAGTCGGTATTCATTAAGTAAATAAATGAAAAGTAATAAGGAAAAATCATCATTATTTAAAAAAAAAAAAAAAACTATTAATAAATAATCAATAATTATTAAAAACTTGGCATCCCTAAATGTGTGGCCTAGAGAGCAAAAAAAGTGATAATTACTACTGCGTATAAATAAATTAATAAATAAATAAAAATATAACAATGTAATCATGTACTCCAATAGAGTTTTATACACGATGTCACGAATGTAATGGTTTAACTAATGTAATGGTGAAAAACAGTCACATTGAATGATAAATATTTGTACAATACACCTAGGTGAATGATCATTATTGTTACTTTATTATTATTATTATTATAATTATTTCAATTTTTATTATTACTATTAAATTAAGTATAAAAATAAAAATAAAAAAAAAAAAAACAACAAGAAAAAAAAAAGAGTGCAGCTTTAGGGATTAACTTTTAAGTGTGCAAAAAGATTATTATTATTATCATTATTATTATTTTATTATTATGATTAAATAAATGTAAACTTAAATATTATTGTTTTATTATAATCAATAAATAATATGGATTACGTAAAAGAGTAAGAGTATGAGTGTGATTGGAATTTTATGTGAGAATGAGAGAAACAAATTAGGATAAGATGTCTGTGTATGAATGTATGTTTTTTTTGAGTCTCTCGTATGAATGGCGATGTTCTTAACAACGCCAAATGCGAAAATCCGTTTCTTACTGAATAAAGACAAGAAACAAACTTGGGTTTGCGTGGCTTAAACAATACATATTTATACATAAAAACTAAATAAATAAATATAAATATAATACATTGATAAGAAAGTTTAAATATACATATAATCTATTGAACAAGATTGATATAATCATACGCGAAAACCTAGATACATTATAATTAACAAATAAACAAATACACGTGTATCACATTTAAAAAAAAAAATCATTTTTTTCTAACGCATCATCATTGATTTTAGCAGTTATTATTTGTCATCGCTCCGTTTATCATTACTTCCGCGATTTGAGTAGTAGTGGTAATAAAAAAAGAGAATTTAAAATAAAATAATAAGTGTATCGTGACCTTTATGTTTTGGTTATAATAATAATTGTAATAATTATGTGCAATGAAAAGTATAAAATATTAGTTGCCTGTGTGTTGAGTTTATGATTATTACACTTACTGATAAATTGAGCTTCCATTATAGAAGCTAATTTAAGTTTACTCACTCACACAATGTATATGCATAAGACTTACATTGTTACCTGCATTCATTATTAAATCCGATTGAATTTTCTTCAATATTTATTATCATTATTATTATTACAAATGAGAACAACAAAAACTTAGAATGCAAGTTTATTTAAATGTAAATTTGATCGAATAAGTATCTTTAAAATTAATGGTTAAGATTTCAATTAAAATTTTATATATATTTTTTTTTTGTTATTTAAAACTTAATTTTTTTAAATGACTTTTTTTGCACTTACATTTGAATTTACACTTCTTTTATTGCTAGTTTTTGTGGAATACTGTGAAATTACTATTTAAATTAAATATTGAAGCATGTTTTACCATAATCAGACTATAAAATATTTAATTGTAAAAACAAGTTGGTTAACTTTTTTTTTTTTATATAATTTACTATCAATAATAATTTATTTAGTTTGTAAAATATTTTTTGTCAAAATTGAATCATTAATTTAAAAGATATTCAAATTTAAATGTTAAATCATTTGTTTTCTAATTATTTTGTAAACGAAATGAAACTTCCATTAATCTAATAAATATATATATGTGTATGTATATGTATATTTATACATATATATATCCAATGTATTATATATATTATATACATATATATACAACGTCCGATACACTATAAAGTCTCTAGCTTAGTACCTGATGCGAATGAGTAAATCATTGTTTAATAAGCATTATTAAATAATAATAATAAATTTTTAGCAGTTGTGTTGACGATAACTAATATATGAAAAAAAGAATAAGAAAAAATTAAAAAAAAAAAAAAAAAAACGAAAGTAAAATGTATTGTACGCATAAAATATTGTTGGTAATTTTTTCTCTTACAGTTATATATTTAGTTTTATAAAATGATACTGACAAAAAAGAATTAATAAATAATAACGCGTACAATTAAATTTTAATGAAAATGACTAGAAAATTATGACACTTTTTGTTCAATTAAAATGAAAAGATTTTTATAATTTTTTTTGTACGACAAGAATGTATATATAAGTGTAACTGTGTGTATTTGCATGAATAATTAATTATTTCCGCTCGGTTTGATTGATAAGTGCGTTAAACGAAAATAAAAAGTATATTGTGAAAACTAACGATTTTTAAACAAGTTAAAAAAAAAAAAAACTACTCAAATCAGTATAACCGACTTAACGGATGCGATGACTTTATTTGGTTATAATTATCAAAAATGATAAGCTATTCGCAGGGTGGCAATGCTAAATAAATTGTTTAAATTATAATTACTTTTAATAATTACTAATTAAAAATTAAAAACAAATAATATAATAAAATAAAAAATGTACAAGATTAAATAACAACCAATAAATAAAGTTTCACGTTATGATAAAAAAACATGAATAACAATTTCTGGTTAAAAATAATTTAACGATTTAATTAACACATAAAATCGTTACAGTGAAGATGTTATCGAAAAATAATTTGTATATTTTCATACAAATCTATACGTCCTGCGCTGATATTTTGATCTACCGATGAAAATAATAATGACAAAAAATTTTTAAAATAAGTTTTTTTCTGGTAATTGTTGATAATATTCGTTAAGAAATAATTATATCTCATTATAAATTTATTTACTTCACGTTCACTCGAAGCTTCGGTTAATTAATTAAAAACTTAATTTTTTTGAATTCATTTTACTTCATAGAATAATAATTATCTAAAAGTAAATAATTTAAAATTTATATAAAATTATTATTTTGTGTGTAAATGTTTTCAATACGACAAAAATAGAAAATTATCTATCCTTTTAATAAATCATAATTGTGTATACATTTCTATAATCTAAAATACTGGAATAATATCGTGAATTCTATACCCAAAAGTCATAAAAACAGTGAAGAGAAGTGATTTATCTTGCGACTAATGTATATGCTTGTTGGAAAAAAAGAGACAAAAATGTAAACTATAATTATTTTTACACAATATTTGAATGGTGAGTTTGTCCTCTTGAAAGATTTAATACTAATATCATTGACTAATAATCGCGTAATTTTATCAGCAAAGAATATATATAATTCAATTAATAATAAATGTTGCTAACAGTTTCTACCGAAAATATTTAGCCAAAGTAATTTTTATGTATTTTAAAATTATCCATATTAAGTAATCATTATGGATAAAATATTATAGTAGTAATTATTATGAATTAATTATTGATGTTTTTTTTTTGTTTAATGAGAAATTAAAAAAAAAATTTTTTTTCCTTTTTTCAAGTTCTTGTTAATAGGGTGTTTTAAATATATAGAGAAGTCCTAAATTATTTTTGACAGCAGCGTTGTTAGGGAGATGGTTTAGTTGGTGAGAAGCAATCCCTTCAGCTGTCGACAAACGGGGTGAGCACGTAGTCTCTTTTTGGGGCCGTTAGTGAGACCAAGATTGTCGGCCAGAAGACCAAATATGTAGAATAATATTTTTGTAACATATAAATAATACTTTTTGTTATTAAGCTTACGGTACAAAAATTTCAGTGACATGATAATTGGGTATAGAATTAAAACTTTATTTCATGTATTTAATTCTTTGAGTAAATAATTTATTTTTATTTTATACTCTGTTCAAACAAATTAAAAAAAAAAATAACATAAATTTTAAATTAAATGCTTGTCAATTTTAACTAAAGATCTAATGAAGCTCGAGTGTGTTAAAAATTGAACGTGAATAAATTCAAGATGATAGAACAAAAAAAATAAAAGCTATTTAATCAGTCGCGACCGTAAATATAATTTAATACTTAAGCCTAAGTAAAGATTGTATTCATATCGATTTATTGAGTAGTCGAAAATTGCCTGCATTTTTTATAGATAAAGCAAATAACAAATGAAAAAAAATTTTTTTTTGTTTTTTTAACGACGAATATAATACATCACACTACACTTTTGTAAATATGCATCTTTCACTGTCTTCGAATCGATAATAGTTTGCGCGTTATGACTTTTTTCTTTGATGAAGTTCATTAATTGAATACAAATTTTTAATAATATCAATGATAAAAATACTTAAACATTTTTGACTGTTATAAAAAAAATAATTTTTGGTGTTTGGTAATTACCTCAAGAACGTGCCGTGGCCAGATAAATTAATAAAAATGCTAAAATAAGTTTCTTAACGTCATGTGTAAAAACATTGTGTTCACAAAAAAACTATTACTATAATATGACTGAATATGCCCTGATTCGTTATTATTAATATGCAATTATTTCATAAAAATAATAATAATAAAATACTGCATAAGCGATTTTTCTCGTTGAAGTATCGTTACATCATTGATAATTGTTTCAGGGCTAAAATAAAAACTATAATGAGTACATGTGCTGAAAATGAATTAATAAAATAAACCCAGACAAGTTATTAAAAATAAAACTGAAAATAATAATAATAATAATAATAATAACATTTTAAAAATGAAACCTTCGACGTGTGAAGATAATATAAAAATAAAAATTGTATCTAATAACCTGTATACATTGACATTATAATTATTATTGTGATTATTATATACAATACTGGAATTAAGAATTTGAAACGATATTACATAAGATTAATAATAAACAAATGCATCTTTATCTTTGTTGCATGAGTTTATTTTTTTGTTTTCTTCTTTTCTTTATTATAAATCTGTATAAAAATATTAACTATGCCTTATTTTATATATTTCATTATTTATTTATTTAATAATAACTATATAAATATAAATTTATGTATATGTATATATATATAAATATAATTATATATTTTTATATATATACATGTATATATTTGCTCACCGAAAAATTTTCATTATAACCATAATAGAATTTTTTGCTATTTATTGATAACAATATAGTAAATAATAAAAAAGATAAAAATTTGAATAAAAAAAATCTGCCGCTTTTTTTTAATTTATTTAAATATTACCTTATGTGCGTAAATGATCATTTTGAGATTTCTCTACTATCGGTATTAAGAGTAATTTACAAGAGCGTATGATTCGTGTACACGATCTTCAATAGACTTTTTCCGGTAATAATTTTTATCGCTCATGAAAGTACCGCTTTACTGCAGTAAAGCCCACTTGAAACTTTTTTAATGCTCAATGGTGTTTGCTGTTTGCAATGTCTCAGATTATCAGTAAAGTTTAATTTTTAGTAATATATAATTAGTTTTTTTAATTATTTGCATATTTTACTTATCGTGACTATGTTTTTTAGTTATCAAGTATAACTATTTTCAAAATAATATTTTATTAAAATATGACATAATAATAATAATAATCGAGTGATTTTTATTTTTATTAAATTGAGCATTTTATTTATTTAATGTTAAAAAATAAATTAAGCTGTAAAAATGAGTTTCTCAGTTAAAAAAACAGGGGGTAGAATGTGGCATGAAGCACGAAAACAAGAAAAGAAAATTCGTGGTATGCTTGTTGATTATCGGAGACGTGCTGAACGTCGTCGTGATTACTATGAAAAAATTGTAAGTATTTTGAAAGCCATTTAATTTAATGGCACCTTATATGTCACTTTATATATTTATTTTTCATTTATTTTAGAAATCTGACCCAACACAATTTCTTCAATTACACGGAAGACCGTGTAAAATTCATTTGGATGCGGCGATTGCTGCTGCTGGAGATAGTCCGGCTAACATGTAAATAATAATAATAATAATAATAATAATAATGATTATTATAACAATCATCAAAGTATCTTAATCTGAAAATTGATGGGAGAATAATACTAAAGTTAGCCGACTCTTTAATTTTTTTTCATTTATTAAATTGGAGCAAAAAAATATTTTTTTTAAATTGCACTTAAATTTTTCGAGTTTTTTACAAATGAAATTTTTTTTTCTTATTTTTTTGTAATAATTTTTTTAATAAAAAAAATTCTAAAAATTTTTAAGTGCCGGCTAACTTAATTTTCATGATGGGAGAAATAATTATAATATATATGTATACTTTTTTTTATTGGTAGGATGCCATGGCAAGGACATGATGACAATTTGATTGATAGATTCGATGTTAGAGCACATCTTGATTGGATACCAGAGCCACCAAACTCGGTTGACATTGATGTACCATTAACGAGTGAAGATAGACATATTAATTATGAACGATATCGTATTATTGTTCAAAATGAGTTTTTAGGAGGTAATTAATTTAAACAAGCGCATTCCATACATTAACCTTCGAGTTTTACGTTTCTTTACTGTATATTAGTTGAATTGAAATTAATACGTAATATATATTCACATAATACTTATTATAATTATAATTTTATTGATTTTCAGTTACTGAAGAAAAATTTTTACATCAAATTCATTTAGAAGAACAGTTTGGGTCATCGACTAAACCCGAATTTTTAAAAGATAAGAAGAAATCAAGTAATAATGCTGCTATTGGTTATAATTATGAGACAGATGAGCCAATACAAGAAACTGCTAAACCAGATTTAAATTCAGTTGATGAAAAAGCTGATGATGAAGATAGTGATATTGATTTAGGTATTATTAATTCTTATAATTATACTTATTGTTATGAATTATTTGATTGAAGTTAATTATTTATGATGTTCAAATAGATATATGTGTGGATGTATCACAAATTGAACCATCTCAGGCACACGAGATGAATCAAGTTGCTCAAAAGTATGGATTAATCGGAGCTGACTATTTTAGTTTTTTAACCCAAGACTTTGAAGAAGCAGAATCTTTGCGGCAGGCACGTAAACAAGAAGAAGAAAAAGCTATGTATTCTGGAAGACGTTCGCGACGCGAACGTCGAGCATTTAGAGAAAAAAAAATGATTGGGCGAGTTATGAGTCCACCTAGGTAACTATAAACTTAATAATTATAACTAGCAACCTTACAGTCACTATGTGACTTGTAAACTATAAATAAATAAAATGTAGCTTAATTAAATAATAACTTTTGTTAAATTGTACTGTATTTTTTTAACTATTGACATTTTTATAGATATAAGCTCATCCCGATGTTACACTCATCAAGAGCTTTCATTTGAGTACACACATGCATTTTGATATATTTTTCATATATACATATATATATATATATATATATATATATAAATATATAAAATATATGAAAAATTGATGTGGGTACTCAAAAGAAAGGTCTTGATGAGTGTAACATCAGAATGAGCTTATATATTCAAAAATGTCAATAATTCACAAGATACAAGGTCATTTCTTAATTATGTATCTAGAGATAGAGCATTTTCGAATGCAGCCTAAATACTTATCATTATAAATTGACTATTGATGAGAATGATATGAAACCTTGAAAAGACACAACTTAAGGTCAAGACTTTTCCAACGATATCAAATTTAACCATAAAAACCAATTTTATCATATAAATACTTCAGCCACAAAATTTTTCTTATTCTCTCTTAATAATATAGATTAGATAGAATAGAATAGATAGAATAATATAGATTCAATTGACATCTTATTATATTATTTCAGTTAATTACTAATAATAATAACAATAAATAAATTATTATGTTTGTAGTTACGCAGCGCGAGAAAGTCCTGAGTACAATCCTTATCGAAAATCATCATCTAAATCACGTTCACGTTCGATTTCTCCGCCCAATACTGGACAGATTACTTACATCACAAGTTTTGGTGGTGAAGAAGAAACCCATGGCAGTAGTTCACAAATAACACCATCGAGTACTAAGAAAATAAACTACTCTCACTTGAGACGAAAAGGATCAGAAAGCCCGAATTTTAATGAAAGAACTATCAGTCGAAGATCTGTTAAGTCTAGATCAAGAAGTCGCTCGAGGTCTAGAAATAGGTCTGCACGATTTTATCGCTCGCGAGACAAACGAATCAGTGATTCTCGGTCCAGGTCAGTTTATTAATGTTTTTTAAATAAAAAACGATTGAACTGAACTAAATGAAAAAAATTTTTATTTCTTAGGTCAAGGAGACAACGATCTAGACCCAGAAGAAGATCAAGATCCCGAAGTCGATTACGTCGTGATCGAAGCAGGCACCGTAGAAGTGCGAGCACTTCACGCTCACGATCTCGGTCTCGGTCCCGGTCTCGATCACGATCACGTGGTCGTAGATCAAGAACCTCATCTTCGAGTAAATACTCGCGCTCAAGGTCTAAATCAAAATCACATTCTCGTTCGCCGGCCAACCATCGTAAGATGCGATATTCTAAATCGAAGTCAAGGTCTAGATCGAGATCAAAATCCCCCGTGAGATCTAGGTCAAGGTCTAAAAGTCGTAATAGTGTGGGTAAAAGATCGAGAAGTGTGGAAAATAAAACATCATTGCCAAGGTACTGATTTTTTTATTTATTGTTGTTAATTTAAAATAATTAAAATATTTTTTTATACTAAAGTTTATATTTTATTCATTTTAAGGTACTATGGTCGTCGAGGAAAATCCTCTAGCTTAGAACTTGAACTTTCCGATAATGAAGATAAAAATAATCATAATACAGCACTTAAATCCACGAGTATTAACACAAACACGTAAGTATAAAGTAAAAATTTTTAATAATATCTTTTGCCGATAGTTTGAATGTAAATATTATTTTGATTACAGAAACAAGCCAAAAGCAGGGCTAAGTACAAATTCTGGTGGCGGACACAAAGTCAGTAAGAACCGTAACGCTTTTTTAGACAATTATTAAAAACACTGATTAATGACTGACAATTTTTAATACGATAGTTAAAAGTATCAATGATTTTAATATAAAAAAAAAAAAAAAAATATATATTTTTTATAAAGCAATCGACAGATGTCATCAAATCATCTGTTTAATATTGAATTATATTTTTATTTATTTTTATTTTATTTTAGATTTATATATATATTTATAGATTTAAGTATAAATTAATAAGCCGTAGTTTAATAAATATTGAATCCAAAATTTATTCAACAAATACATTTATAAAAATTACTTGTTGAATAAAATTATAATTGGAATTATTTGAAATTAAAAATGGATTATTTTTCTCAATTTTTTTTGATATTTCAGCCGGTAAAAATTACTCCCCAAGAGCGGCTTAAGAAAAAAATGCAAACTTTACTGAACCGCCAATGTAAGTCTATTCAACAAAATGCAAAATTTATTCATTACTTAAGTTCAGAACATTAAAGTAAAGTATAATTTTTAATTTATAGTTAGAGCAGATAAAAAAGCTGAACAAGCGCGAATTGAAAAAATGGAGCAACAAAGACAAGACCGTGAAGATGAAATTCGAGAAATGTCTCTAAAGCTTCGTAGAAAGTATGCTTATAAAAATAATTAATTTCTTATTAGTTCGTTGTTGAACTAAAATATTAATCATAATTTTTTTTTAAACAGACAAAGAGAAAGACGACATCGTTATGAAGGCCATAGTACGGATTCACGATCTTCTGTTTCAAGATCACCGAGTCCTGGTCGAAGCCCTCGACATTCATCTAGTCGGCGTGATCGAAGAGATCGTGATTTACGTGACACAAAAAACGATAATGATAGAGAAAGAGATAGGGATAGAGATAGACGAGATAGAGATTCTAGTAGGCAAGAATCGAGGAGACGTTATAGAGATTGTTCGCCTCGTTCTTTAAGTCCCCGTAGTAGTCGGTAAAAGATAACTTTTTATAATTAGTCAAAATACTCCTTGCTGACGTTGGACTCAAAAAATAAATTGATCAAGAGTATTTTAGACATATTATTAATTAACAAGTCTAAATATACCCCTGGTCATTGTATTTATCATCACATAATTTTATTATAATCAATTTTATTTTTTTTTTTTCAGAGGCTTGGTTGATTATTAACTTTTTATACAAAATGCACAATCTTCCATCCGATTATTATTGAAATAATGTAACAAATGAAATGTTAATATTAACAATTATAATATATATTAGCTAGAGTTAAAAAAAATTTGTAAATTAATATCTGTCTTCTCTAATAATTGTTATTGATAATATATATCACAATGAAATGTTTGCGCATTTCGTTACACGTCTGTGGTGATTGTTATTTATTATTTCTGCAACGTTTCATATTTATAAAACAATTTTCCAATAAATATGTTTATTATAATCAAATACTAATTTTCAATCATTTTTTTTTTTTTTTTAAGTTTTTGCAAAAAGCATTTATCCATCCATAAAAATATTAATTCCTAAGTATGTTCTCAAGATAATAATATCTTGACGTAATTTATGTGATAATATTTAATTATCAAGTTTTTATTATGAAATTAATAAAGTAAGGATCAAAATTATATACATTTGTAATAGAGACGTCAAGATAACAAGACACATCCGTGCAATGGTCATAACATTTGGAGTTTTAACAAGTAATATTAAAAATTTTATTTTTTTACTTTAATTACTCATTATTATTTTATTAAAAAATACATCAAGTATTTTTTAATAATTAATTTATCAATAATAACTTTGTAAAATAATATTTATTTGAGGTTAAACACTTGTTTATTTTTTACTTTATTAATAACAATAGCAAATTATTTAATTATTTCAGTTAGTGACACATGTGCAGATGATCCTGTTAAAGATAAAAGCGGATTAGAATTACGAAATCTGATTGAAAATGCAGATAGTGAAATTAATAATGTTTTTAAAGGACAAGTTTTGGAGTATAAAATCGTACCGGATAATGAAGATAAAATAATGGTAAAATTTTTAATTATTTATTCACAAAATAGCAACTTAAATTTTATCTAACAAACAAATTTGATAAAAATTAAGTTAGCCGGCATCTAAAAATTTTTAGAATTTTTTTTTATTCAAAAAATTGTTACAAAAAAAATTATATTTGTAAAAAACTTGAAAAACTATAAGTGCAATTTTTAAAAAAATATTTTTTAGTTCTAATTTAATAAATAAAAAAAATTAAAAACGTCGGCTAACTTTAGTATTATAAATTTTTGTATGAAAATTTAATTAGTAAGTATGGAAATTAATTTAGCAGACATTTATTAATTTTAAAAATTTTCTTAACAAATAAATTATAGTAAAAAAAATTAGAAGAAAAAATTGACATGTAGAAATTTTGAAAAATTAAAAAATGCTGTTTTTAAATAATAATTTTTTGGAACAAATTTATTTGTTAAAAAAAATTAAAAAATTTTTAAGTGACTGGTAACTTTAATGTCATGCAGATATTTGATAATTTTTTTATCAAATAAATTATAGCAAAAAAAATGACAAGTAGAAAATTAAAAAAATTAAATATGTAATTTTTTAACAATAATTTTTCGGAATAAATTTGTTTGTTAAGTAAAATTAAAAAATGGTCAAGTAACTAGTAACTTTAACGTCATAATTTTTTTTTTTTCATTTAGAAAATACTAAAACAATGGTCAGATAAACTGAAAATAAATGTTATTTTAACAACTGGTGGAACGGGATTTTCTGCAAGAGATAATACACCAGAAGCGACTAAAAAAGTTATTGAAAAAGAAGCCCCCGGGCTTTCAATTGCTATGATAAATTTTAGTTTAAAAATCACACCACTAGCTGTGTTATCAAGGTAATAAAAAGATAATTAATAAGGTATGTAGTTAACCTGATTAGAAAAAGAGATTTGAAATGGCTCAAAGCGATTAAAAAAGATTCAACTTGACAAATATATCGATATACATTTTGCATGAGTTGAATCGTTTTAAATCGTTTTTTAAGAAGGGTACACTTGCCGACTATCAGAAACTAAAGAGTTTTTTTTATTAAAAAATGATTATTAAACTTTTTATTTACTTTTACTAGAGGTGTTTGTGGTATTCGTAAAGAAACTCTCATCATAAATCTTCCCGGTTCGCCAAAAGCTGCCAAAGAAAATTTATTGGCTATAGTGAAAACTATCCCACATGCTGTTGATTTAATTATAAATAATAAAAACAATGTAATTAAAACACACGAAGAAGTCCAGAGAGCCAAGATCAAGCACGAATGTTCTCATGTAAACCATTCCAATGATTCAGTAAGTTGATAAGAATAATTATCAGTGAACTGAGAAAATAAAAAAATTTTATTTTAAAGTTTAAGGTAGAAAATGTCGCCAATCGTCGTCGTACCTCTCCATGGCCAATGATTTCTATGGAAGAAGTAGCAGAAATATTTAATAACATAAGTTGGAATAATGAAACTGAAACACTAGACTTGTGGAAATGTCACGGAAAAATTTTAAGCAAAGATATTTTTTCTCTTTGTGACTTGCCGCCTTTTCCTGCTTCTATTAAAGACGGATACGCGGTGATTGCTAGTGATGGTGATGGCTTAAGACAAGTATTAGGTGGACTAGAGGCTGGAGATACGGTAAAATTATTTTATCTTTAAAATATTCTTATTATCAATTGAGTAACACATAAATTTTTTTCTAAATAAAATTCAGCCAGGCTTAGTGAAACTGAGTACCGGTTTTTGTGTTAGAATAAACACTGGAGCACCGGTACCAGATAGCGCAAATGCTGTTGTTCAAGTAGAAGATACTAAGTTAGTATCAAAAAATGAATTTAATGAAGAAACAGAAATAGAAATTTTGGTTAAACCTTCAGAGGGGCAAGATATTCGTCCAATCGCTAGCGACATAAGAAAAGATGAATTGGTATTACGTAAATTTACTAAAATTGGAGCTGCTGAATTGGGAATTTTAGCAAGTTGCGGATATTCTAAGGTTCAAGTAACTAAAGTTCCGGTAATTGGGATTTTATCAACTGGAAATGAACTGCAAACAGCTGGAGAAGTTCCAAAATCTGGTCATGTCTACGATAGTAATAAAATTACTCTTATGATGTTACTGAGAGAATACGGTTACGATTCAATTGATTTGGGAATTGCTCGGGATGAGTAAGTTCACTTACTTAAATACTACACAGTAAAAATTTTTGTGTCATTGCGTCAAAAAACTTAGTGTTAAAAATTTTGTGTTAATATTAATCACTTTTATGTGTAAATTTAAAATTAATTCTGTTAAATCAACACAAAAAATGTTAAATATTTAACATAAAAATTTTTAACACAAAATTTTTTAACGCAATGACGCAAAATTTTTTACTGTGTACGGTAAATATTTAGAAGTGGGATCAACCATTTTAATTTCCATTTTTTTGAACGAAATTTCTATCTGATTTAATTGATATATTTTTTTATGAAAAATACATAAAAAAAAAATAAAGTTGATCATCGCAATTTTAACAAATTTTCAAAAAAATTTATAAATTTTTTAGAAAATTGTGATATTAAACTTTTTTTTTTTATAATTGTTCTTTTTTTTATGTACTTTTCAAAAAAAAATAAATCAAAAACATCAAAAAAAAAATAAAATAGAAATTTTATATAAAAACATGAGAACCAAAATTTTTTCTAACTTTTGATGGCAAAAAAGCTATCAAAATCTTTATGTTTTTCTCTCACGACATTCTTTATCATAAATGCACCGTAAAAACACGCAGAATCAAAAAAAAATTTGAAAATGTTAATTTTTCACCTAGTTATGCCCAAAATGGGGTTGACCCCACTTGTAAATAATTACCAATACTACAAACCAACATCTAATTTTTATTTTACAATTATTAATTATGCTTATACTTTTTTTTAGCGAGAGTGTCATGATAAAAATTATCCGTGATGCTTTGGACAAAGTGGATGTTCTTATAACCACAGGTTCTTTGTCGATGGGTGACCGTGATTTAGTTAAGCCAATTTTAACTCAAGTTTTTGGAGCTAAAATACACTTTGGAAGAGTTAATATGAAGCCAGGAAAACCTACGACATTTGCAACTTGTGTTTATAATAATATAAATAAGTATATCGTATGCTTGCCAGGCAATCCGGTTTCGGCAACAGTCACAGCACATCTATTTGCCATTCCTTTGATTAACAGATTGTCTGGTAATTATTCAAAGCCAACGATCGTTCAAGCTCAAGTAATTTTATTTTTTATTTTTTTTTGAAGAAATGAAAGCAATGAAATAATTTTAATAATATTTACTTTATTTTTTATCATAGGTTTCTTCTTCATATAGACTTGATCCTCGGCCAGAGTACGCGCGAGTTATTTTACAGTGGTCAGATCCAGAAAAAATTCCAGTGACTTATAGCACTGGTAATCAAATAAGTAGCAAATTACTCAGTTGCAAACATGCTAATGCATTACTCATGCTACCTGGACAAACTGATGAACGCAAAAATGTCAAAGAAGGCGAGTCTGTACCAGCAATGCTTCTTGGCTTCGATCAAATCGATTTTTAATGAATATCATTCAAATTTCGTTCCTTTAAGTACATATAATTTTCTAATATGTCATTGATTCATTAAGCATTAAAATCAAGTGCGCATATTAAATAAAAAATATTAGATAATAATAAAAATTTATTTTTTCAAAGTAGTTGTCTATACTATTCGTAAATCTTGTATGTTATACATATTATTGTACAAGTTTTTGAGAACTTAATTTTTAAAAATACAAACATTTTTTAAGAGATCCTAGTGAAGTTTTTATTATTAATTTAATAATTGAAAAAATCATAAAAACATCAAAGTTTAAACAATTTTGAATTATTTTTAATAAAAAAAACTGAACTCTTTCCGAAAGCTGTGGTATAAATCTAAATAGGACTAAATAGACAACAAAAATTCTTATATCTTCAAAATAACTCCGTAAACAGCACCTGAAACTTATAAAAAGTAATAATTATAATATGAACTTTCATCATTTGGAAAATTTTTTCAACTTTAAATTCAATTGTAATTTACATGCTTTTTCCTTGTAATATAATACTGCTGCCGTTAAATTCCCCTCAACACTGATAAATTCAAATTGAAACTGCATTTCTACCGTAAGAGCGCGCTTACAAATGAGAATCCCAAGAATCCTTCCTGATATTTACTTATAAGTGTGTGTAAACTGTAAATAAATTTTTACCTCTCTATCGTGTAATTTTAGCAGTTATTATTGCGATTTAGTTACACGTAACTACTTAACTAGTTTTTAAATTTAAACTTTATTCCTAAGTTTGGGTAAGTATTATTATAAAATTTTTATTTTGTTTCATGAAATGGTAAATTAGCCAAGTACTATAGTTGTACAAAAAAAATGTAAAATAAATTCTTGAATTTTTATGATCATATTGTAAATTTTTAATTATTAAGCTGATAGTAAATTAACACAGTTCAATTTTTAATGTTATCATAAGAAAAAAATATTTCATCATCAAGTGACAATTTAGATGTTAGAGTCATTTGAGTTGAGTCCCAAATACATGGGATTGCTCACGCTTACCCACTGCGCACATTTACCCCAAATGACTCTAACCCTTCAATACCCATGTTTTTTTTAGTGTCTCACTTGCACTGCATCGACATCCTGTCACACTCTATATAATAATTATTTACAGTTCCACTGCTTTCTCAAACTAACATTATGGCATTGTTGTCAACTTTTACACTTCATGTTTTTTATTGCGTTCATTTGTTTTGTATATTCGATACAAACATATACTAGCTGAGTTTCATTTGCCTTATTTTAATTATTTATAAATTTCAGTTATTTAATAATAAAATTGAATCTCATAATAAAATTGAGATGAAATGTATGTGAAACCAATCTATTCGGGATGTGATTGATTGAATATATTCATATTCATATGCATGAAAATATATACAAACTCTACAGTCAAGGCGCTTGCGCTTACGCGCGCAAATTTGAATTCTAGTGATTTTAAAAATACAACTTAAAATATTAGTTTTATTGATTAATATCTTAATTTTAGTACAAGCGTCTTTAGATTCTCTTCTTTAGTAACAATTACCAAGATATTTAGGTAGTTATAAATTATTATATACCCAATATCTGATTTTACAACAATTATTTCTTTAAATATATTCTAATTATTAATTTTTTTGTCACTTGTTAATTTAAAAAAAAAAAATTATTTTTTTAAAATTTCATTTTTTATTTAAAAATTTTTTTTTTTTGTCAATTTTATTTTCTGATTTTTTTTTGCCATAATCTATTGCTTAAAAAATTTTCAAATATCTGCTACATTAATTTTCATATTTTTTATGCAAATAATTTTCAGCTGAAAAATGTTCAAAAACGAAGATGAACGATTGCAATTTATCCTGTCATTGATTCGTTTAGATTTCAAAAATCATTCTTCCAAGAGCTCTAATTTGAAATCTATCAGGTATGTTTACTGCTTAGAAATCAAATAAATTGATAAAATATAATTATAATAATTTTTAAAAACAATTTCATATTTTGCATTCATACTGATCAACCAATAGAAGCTTACTCGATCAAGATTCTTATGATAATGTACACAAAGAATTTTTTTACCATATTTTTCAATGGGATTCTTCTTGGGCTTTTGACAATTCGTACAAAGACGTCCCACCAAGTGTCATAGATAGTATTCCTATGAATCCAGTGAAATTAGTTTATTCGTCGTATAAAGAGTATCAGAAAATCTTTTTGCCATTTATCTTAAGTGAATTTTGGTACACATTGCGAAATGATATTACCGAAGATGCAAAGAAAAAAAAGTAATTTTTAATTTGATACTTAAATTGAATAACATAATATAATATTTGTGTAAATTTTAAATATTTTAGAAAACCAAATACAATAACTGCACCAATCAGAGAATCGTCGTATGAGTTTATCTCAGTAAACAACAAAAACAATGATTCAACCTGTCAGCTCACCCGATTCAAGGTGACTGCAACAGTACCTCGTAACATTAATGATAATAAACTTGAAAATAAGTATCCAAGTCGCGGAGATTTCGTCATTATTAAATATTCAACCAAAAAAACTGAAGATTTTGGATATATTGAAGAAGTTTCGAGAGGTGGAAGTAAGAAACGTATTTTTTTAATAACTATTTTTTAATAAAATATTAACATTTTGTTGACTAAAATCGTAAAGGATATCTTTTTTTTAATATTCTTATCTGATTATTTTTTTTTTTATTATAAAATTAATTTCATATTTAGATCGACGGAGCGAACTAACAACGTTGACCTATGTTATTTTAACAAAACTCTGGTCACAGTCTAAACTATCAGGCTCTGTAACTCTGGTTACTGTAGGCTGGATTTTTTCGTATTTAACTCACGTTAATTCATTAGAGAATATCTCTCAATCGCCTTTAATAAAATCAATTTTAAAACCAGATATTGATTCCTTCCGATTAATGCCATGTCTCACCACTCTACCGACTGTTACAGAAGTACTGTAGTATTTATTTATTTCTCTATATTGCTTAAACAATTTAAATTTGCATCATAAAACTTGTTACTTTTTAAGGACACTCTTAATTCAAAGCAATTGGAAATTATGTCCCGAGTTGTGACTACTGTGTAGAAAGTCAAACTCCTGGGATATGTTTAATTCAAGGGCCACCTGGAACAGGAAAATTCACTGTGATTAAAAATATTATTGCATCTGTATTGAGTAGGAAACTTACACCTAGAGTGTTAGTATGTGCGCCTTCAAACAAAGCTGTTGATGAATTAGCCCAGAGATTGTTAGCGATTCAACTACTTATGGAAGGTATAGTTGAATAATTATATTTTTATATTGTACTAAAAATTAGTTACTTATGTTGTTACATAGACCAAGGCATTCCTTGGAATATTGTTCGAGTTGGTCGAGAAGACAAAATTCATAAGTCAGTTGAAAGTGTATCTTTATTGAATCTTAGAAAGAGTGTAAATATTTTCTTTATTATTACAATTGGTAATTATTTACAAGTAGGTTTAGCTCCATTTTGGGCCTTAACTATAGGTGAAAAATTACACGGAAAAAAGTAGACTGTAATAAATAACAGTCGATTTATAATAAAAGTAATGATCAACTGCTAAAAATTACCATTTCAAATAGTAATATCGTGATTTTACTATTCACTTAATAATATTTATCATTTAAACGTTACAATTTACCCTTTACATGAAAGAAAATATTATTTCAAACAGTAATATTCGCTATGTGAATGTCTAAAATGTTAAAGTATAATAATTAAAAATTCAGGCTTTAATATTTAATTATTTCGGACCTCAAAAATGATCTTATGATATGTAAAAAGTATAAAATAAAGTTGATAAATTTCTAATACAAGCAACGTTAATATTTACAAAGTAAAATGATAAATTTTAATTGCAACACTAAAAATTTCGATCAAAAAAATGAAAATTAAAATGTTTGACCCCTCTTGTAAATATTTACCCTACAATCTAATCAAGTTTTAATACTAATTACATTGAATATTATTTATTTGTATAATAGCGATTCGATTCAGCAACGAGAGAACAAGCTGCAGAGGAACATATTTTAAACAATGCAAATATAATTGCATGTACACTTACCTCTTGCTATACCAGCTATCGAATGAAAGCTGTATTTGGGTATTATTGACTTTTATTGAAAAAAAAGTTTTAGTTTTATAAATTTAACTAAAGAAAAATAATTATTTTCAGAACTAACAGATTGAACATACCTTTTTGTATAATAGATGAAGCTGCTCAGGCTACGGAAATTTTAACTTTAGTCCCACTAATGTTTTCTATCAACAGATTAATTTTAGTTGGAGACCCTCAACAGTTACCTCCAACTGTATTATCTCAGGTATTGAATATAAATTATAATTAATAATTATTTGTATGCATAAAAATGTTTATTTTATTTAGAAAGCAAAAAAATATGGGTACGATCAGTCTCTTTTTGTAAGAGCGCAAAAAATTTTTGAGAGTAAGTCCAAAAATCCTGTTGTGATGTTAGACACTCAGTATAGGATGGTGAATGCAATCGCGGAATGGCCAAACCGATATTTTTATCGAGGAGCGATTAAAAACGCTGCTTCCGTAGCCCCGCTAAATTTTTGCAATTATAAAGTTTTAAATCATTCATACAGTCAAGATTCTGAAGGTCATTCCAATCCAGATGAAGCGACACTCGTAGTTGAAATCGTTAAAGCTTTGATCGAAAAAAATAAATCGATAACCAGCGACAAGGAAATTAGTATTGGTGTCATTACACCTTACAAAAAGCAATGCATGTTAATTAATGATTTATTGAATCCACCGTAAGTAATTTGATGTTTTATTGCTTATTTAAACTGAATTATTTTAATGATAATTTTTTTTAAAGTCAAGGGGAAACAAATGACACACCGAAGCGAAAAATAATTGCAGTCAACACTGTTGATAGTTTTCAAGGCTCCGAATGTGATATTATCATAATGTCGTGTGTAAGAAGCAAAGGCATTGGATTTGTTAAAGATCCTCACAGACTTTGTGTTAGCATCACTCGAGCTAAGCACAGTTTAATTCTGTGTGGTAATTTCAATACGTTCAGGGTAAGGAAATTCTATTAAAAGTACATAGCTTATTTAATGTTAATTAATGTTAAAGACTTTATTATTAATTTTTGAAACTCTTGTAGATTAATAAAACATGGAGAAATCTTTTAAATGATGCTCAGTCTCGTGGTTTTTACATCGATATTTCTAAAGATGGAATTCATGCGATAATAAATCATGTAGTTGTTAATCGTTATAATTATTCTTTTTTTAATTTATATTTATATATTTTTTTGACTACGTTCTTGATGATTTTCATCAATTTTATTATTAACGATATTTTTTATTTATTTTGACAAACTCAATTGTAATATTAATACTTGGTTTGACTTTTTTAACTTTTAACTTTACTTTTAACTCAAATGTATAAATGAATAAAAAAACAGTCAATAAGATAATTATTCGAGAAAATTATTTGATACCATATAAACATATATAAATCTTTGATACTTTAAATGTAAGTAATTATTTTATAATTCTACTTTAGTAATTTCTAAATATTAAAATATGTATTTTTCAAACTATAATTTGCCTGCGTAGCGTATTGAATTACTATTTATATATCAAATCTGTCAGTGAATGCTAAAAAATAATAGCCAGAACTCGAAGTCCGAGAACTGTTTATCAAAACGTCCTATATAAATTTCTTAGTTTTTCATATTATTTTTTTTTAATTATCTAATATGATTATATCACTTAATCATAATTGCTGTCAAAAATGTATGTGAATTAGTAATCTTTCTATTATATGTATCTTCTAGTGTAAGGAAATTACTGTAGAATAAAAAAATACTATTTATGTTTACTCTAGTGACAAGAAAAAGGATCAACCCAAACAATTGAAAATTAAAAAACGTTCTGATAAAGATGAAGTTGATATTGATGGTAATATTGATAAAAATAAAAATAATCAATCAGAGAATTCTGAAAAAGAAAGCATCGATGCCAAAAATAACGAAGAAATTAATGATGAAGACTATAAAGAAAATAGTGGCAGTGAAGATAGTACAGATGAGGACGAAAATATCATTACTGATATAAACAACTGTGGTACAACAATAATTTAAGAAGCTGCTCAACTAGAAATGAAAAAGAAAATCAAAAAACAAAAGAAAGCTCAAAGAGCACAGAAAAAAAAATTAGGACGACGGTTGATCTTAAAGGCTATCCGTGCAACTTCCCGCTCATTTTGTACTTAAGCGCTTAAAATTACACATTACGTTTTTGAGCTCTTCAAGCTCATTTTTTTTTATCGAAATTTTTAGCGTTGCGATTAAAATTTACCATTTTACTTTGTAAATATTAACGTTGCTTGTATTAGAAATTTATCAACTTTATTTTATACTTTTTACATATCATAAGATCATTTTTGAGGTCCGAAATAATTAAATATTAAAGCCTGAATTCTTAATTATTATACTTTAACATTTTAGACATTCACATAGCGAATATTACTGTTTGAAATAATATTTTCTTTCATGTAAAGGGTAAATTGTAACGTTTAAATGATAAATATTATTAAGTGAATAGTAAAATCACGATATTACTATTTGAAATGGTAATTTTTAGCAGTTGATCATTACTTTTATTATAAATCGACTGTTATTTATTACAGTCTACTTTTTTCCGTGTAATTTTTCACCTAGTTAAGGCCCAAAATGGAGCTAAACCTACTTGTAAATAATTACCAATTGTAATAATAAAGAAAATATTTACACTCTTTCTAAGATTCAATAAAGATACACTTTCAACTGACTTATGAATTTTGTCTTCTCGACCAACTCGAACAATATTCCAAGGAATGCCTTGGTCTATGTAACAACATAAGTAACTAATTTTTAGTACAATATAAAAATATAATTATTCAACTATACCTTCCATAAGTAGTTGAATCGCTAACAATCTCTGGGCTAATTCATCAACAGCTTTGTTTGAAGGCGCACATACTAACACTCTAGGTGTAAGTTTCCTACTCAATACAGATGGAATAATATTTTTAATCACAGTGAATTTTCCTGTTCCAGGTGGCCCTTGAATTAAACATATCCCAGGAGTTTGACTTTCTACACAGTAGTCACAACTCGGGACATAATTTCCAATTGCTTTGAATTAAGAGTGTCCTTAAGTTAAAAAGTAACAAGTTTTATGATGCAAATTTAAATTGTTTAAGCAATATAGAGAAATAAATAAATATTAAAGTACTTTTGTAACAGTCGGTAGAGTGGTGAGACATGGCATTAATTGGAAGGTTGTAAATTGCCGAGGGCGTTTCTTTACAAATAAATAAATAAATAATTTGGAAAATTTTTTCAACTTTAAATTTCAGTAATTGTAATTTACATGCTTTTTTCCTTATAATATACTGCTGCCGTTAGTTTTTTCAACACTCATCATTCAAATTGAAGCTTCATTTTTTTACCACAAGAGCGCGCTTACTATTGGGAATCCCAGGAATCACTCGTCGTATTTATAAGTGTATGTAAACTGTAAATAAATGTGCACTTCTCTATCGTTTAATTTTAGCAATTATTGTTGCGATTTAGTTACACGTAACTACTTAAGGAAATCCTTTCGCTCCAGTTGATTCAAAACAATTGTAGTAGTCAATATACGATAAATTAAAAAAAGAAACCCATAAAAATTCCTAAAATTAAATAATAAATAGTATATGAGGCATTAATCGTTGAAATTTTGAAAATAAAAAAAAAAAATAGTTAAATACAAAAATTAATTTGACTCTTTCAAATCAACTGCTAGTAACCTGTCCGTGATTTGGCAACGCTGTACTTCGGTTGTTTACATTTTCATTTGCATAATATAACCTTAACCACGTTTAAGTTTTTGCAGTCAGCGTAAATAAATAAATTAGTTTGAATTTATTGAATGGTCTGAAGCTCGCGCGCTACGCAACGTTGCCAAATGTTTTGACTCCATTTTAACGTAGGTTACTTGAGAATTTTTTGTGATTTTTAAATATTAATTTCTCAATAAATATCTCGGTAACTGATATATTTTATTGCAAAAAAAGAAACCTGAATATTTCGAAAATCTAATTTTTAGTTTTTTTTCACTTCATCTAATCCATGATATATAAACTTTTGAACCATATGTATTTTCTGACTCAACTCGTCGAGTTAAGTCGGAATATAGCAAAATTTTTCAAAAGTTTCGTCATGAGGACCATTGCAATAGTTAGATTTCTATGAAATCTACTAAAAACTATTTCATCATTAAATGACAATTTAGATGTTGAAAAATAACATGTATTGCCATATTGACTTTATATCCAAATCAATAACCCTGATTGGTTGTTAAATTACATGTAAAGTTTCACATATGGTTATCGCTCATATAAATTCTAAGAACATAAATGTACTATTCGTTTTGATTTTATGCAGTTGCATGCCTTACTCGCTGTCTGAAATACATAGTTAATAAAGTTAAACATCTCTTGCAATAAATAATTCAAGCCTAAAAAATTATAAAAAAATTAAAAGACATAATTAATATAATTATTACTGTAAGTATTAATTTATTATTATCTTCAATAGTCTAGATTTAGTACAAATTGTGAATTCTTATTTTAATTTTTATTATTAATGCGGTAATAATTGTTAGTTAAATTAATAATTGATGATTCATCAATTGTAATCAGAGAAAAAAATTTTTTTAAACAAGTAGTATAAAATTATTTACAGTTCCACTGTTTTCTCAAACCACCATTTTGGCATTGCTGTCAACTACGCTTTATGTTTTTCATTGTGTTCATTTGTTTGTGTATTTGACACGAGCATATACTAGCTGAGTTTTATTTGCCTTATTTTAATTATTTATAAATGTCAGTTATTTAATAATTTAATAATAATAAATAATTTTAAAAATACAATTTAAAATATTAGTTTTATTAATTAATATTTTAATTTTAATACAAGCGTCTTTGGATTCTCTTCTTTGGTTATAATTATCAAGATATTTAGGTAGTATCAATCATCATATCCAATATCTTATTTAAAAACAATTATTTCTCTGAGTTATAATTAAAATTATTAATTTTTTAATGATAATTTGTCCAATTTTTTATTTTTTTGCAAAAAAAATTTATTAAAAAAAAATTATTTTTGAAAAATTGCATTTTTTATTTTTAAAAATTTCTACAAGTCAATTTATTTTTTAAAAAATTTCTAACAATTTTCAAATATCTGCTACATTAATTATCATATTTTTTATGCAAATAATTTTCAGTTGAAAAATGTTCGAAAACGAAGATGAAGAGTTACAATTTGCTCTGTTATTGAGTCGTTTAGATTTCAAAGATCAGTCTTCCAAAAGCTCTGATTTGAAATCTATCAGGTATTTTTACTGCTTATAAATCAAATAAATTCATAAAATATAATTATAATAATTTTTAAAAACAATTTCATATTTTGCTTTCATACTGATCAACCAATAGCAGTTTATTCAATCAAGATTCTTATGATAGTGTACGCAAAGAATTTTTTTACCATATTTTTCAATGGGATTCTTCTTGGGCTTTTGACAATTCGTACAAAGACGTCCCACCAAGTGTCATAGATAATATTCCTATGAATCCAGTGAAATTGGTTTATTCTTCATTTCAGGAGTATCAGAAAATCTTTTTGCCACCTATCTTAAGTGAATTTTGGTACACATTGCGAGATGATATTGCCGAGGATGCAAAGAAAAAAAAGTAATGTTTAATTTGATATTTAAATTGAATAACATAATATAATACTTGTGTAAATTTTAAATATTTTAGAAAACCAAGTACAATAACTGCACCTATCAGAGAATCGTCGTATGAGTTTATCTCAGTAAGCAACAAAAGCGATGATTCAACCCGTCGTCTCACCCGATTCAAGGTGACTGCAACAGTCCCTCGTAATCTTAATAATAATAAACTTGAAAATAAATATCCTAGTCGCGGAGATTTCGTCATTATTAAATATACAACCAAAAAAACTGAAGATTTTGGATATATTGAAGAAGTTTCGAGAGATGGAAGTAAGAAACGTATTTTTTTTAAAACTATTTTAATGAAATATTATGATACTGAAGTTAGCTGTCAATTTTAAAAATTTTTATAAAAAATAAATTATAATAAAAAATCCTTCTAAAAATTTTCACTTGTAATTTTTGTTAATTTTCACATGTGAAATTTTTGAATTAAATTTTTTTTATAATAATTTAATTGCCATAAAATTCTTAAAAAATTTTTAATGTCTGTCAACTTCAGTATCATTAAAATATTAACAGTCGGTTGATTACAATCGTAAAGAATACTTTTTTTTTATTATAAAACTAATTTACTTATTTTTTTTTTATTATAAAATTAATTTCATATTTAGATCGATGGAGCGAATCAACAACGTTGACCTATGTTATTTTGACAAAACTCTGTTCACAATCTGAATTATCAGGTTCTGTAACTCTGGTTACTGTAGACTGGATTTTGTCATACTTAACTCACATTGATTCATTAGAGAATATCTCTCAATCGCCTTTGATTAAATCAATTTTAAAACCAGATATTGATTTCTTCCGATTAATGCCATGTCTCACCATTCTACCGACTGTCACAAAAGTACTTTAATATTTATTTATTTATTTATATTTAAACAATTTTAATTTGCATTATAAAACTTGTTTTTTTAAAGGACACTCTTAATTCAAAGCAATTGGAAATTATGTCTCGAGTTGTGACTACTGTGGAAAGTCGAACTCCTGGGATATGTTTAATTCAAGGGCCACCTGGAACAGGAAAATCCACTGTGATTAAAAATATTATTGCTTCTGTATTGAGTAGAAAACTTACACCTAGAGTGTTAGTATGTGCGCCTTCAAACAAAGCTATTGATGAATTAGTTCAGAGATTGTTAGTTATTCAACCACTTATGGAAGGTAGTGTATGATTTATACTTCAATAAATGTAATTTTATGTTGTATTGTACTAAAAATTAATTATTTATGTTGGAATATAGAGCAAGGCATTCCTTGGGATATTGTTCGAGTTGGTCGAGAAGACAAAATTCATAAGTCAGTTAAAAGTGTATCTTTATTAAATCTTAGAAAGAGTGTAAATATTTTACTTTATTACTACAATTGGTAATTATTTAAAAGTGGAGTCAGCCCTATTTTGGGGCGTAACTAGGTGAAAAATTAACATTTTCAGTTGATTTTTACGGCGCATTTATATGATAAAAAATGTCGTGAAAAAAAAATAAAGATTTCGATAGCTTTTTTGCCTTCAAAAATTGGAAAAAATTTTGGCTCATGTTTTTGAATAAAATTTCTATTTTATCTTTTTTTGATGTTTTTGATATATTTTTTTTTCGAAAAGTACATAAAAAAAAACGAACAGTTAAAGAAAAAATTAATATCACAATTTTCTAAACAATTTATAAATTTTTTGGAAAATTTGTTAAAATTGTGATAATCAACTTTTTTTTTTAATTGTTCATTTTTTTATGTATATCATTAAAATTAAATAGAAATTTCATTCAAAAAAATGAAAATTAAAATGTTTGACCCCACTTGTAAATATTTACCCTACAATCTACTTAAATTCTAATACTAATTACATTGAATATTATTTATTTATATAATAGCGATTCGGTTCACCAACTAGAGAACAAACTGCAGAGGAGCATATTTTAACCAATGCAAATATAATTGCATGTACACTTTCCTCTTGCTATACCAGCTATCGTATGAAAGCTGTATTTGGGTATTATTGACTTTTATTGAAAAAAAAAAAAAATTTAGTTTTATAAATTTAACTAAAGAAAAATAATTATTTTCAGAACTAACAGATTGAACATACCTTTTTGTATAATAGATGAAGCTTCTCAGGCCACGGAAATTTTAACTTTAGTCCCACTAATGTTTTCTGTCAACAGATTAATTTTAGTTGGAGACCCTCAACAGTTAACTCCAACCGTATTATCTCAGGTATTGAATATAAATTACAATTAATAATTATTGTATGTATAAAAATGTTCATTTTATTTAGAAAGCAAAAGAATATGGGTACGATCAGTCTCTTTTCGCAAGAGCGCAAAAAATTTTTGAGAGTGAGTCCGAAAATCCTATTGTGATGTTAGATACTCAGTATAGGATGGTGAATGCAATCGCGGAATGGCCAAACCGATATTTTTATCGAGGAGCGATTAAAAACGCTGCTTCCGTAGCCCCGCTAAATTTTTGCAATTATAAAGTTTTAAATCACTCATACAGTCAAGATTCTGAAGGTCATTCTAATCCAGATGAAGCGACACTCGTAGCTGAAATCGTTAAAGCTTTGATCGAAAAAAATAAATCGATAACCAGCGACAAGGAAATTAGTATTGGTGTCATTACACCTTACAAAAGGCAATGCATGTTAATAAATGATTTATTGAATCCACCGTAAGTAATTTGATGTTTTATTGCTTATTAAAACTGATTTATATTAATGATAATTTTTTTTTTAATTTTTAGCCAAGTGAAAAAATTACTGAAAAAAGATGCAGGTGATGATAATCCTGATAAGGAAAATGATGACGGTGGCAAAGAGAATACTGATACTGATGAAAAAGTCAGCAATGCTGAGGATAGTAACAAAGAGAAAAAAGATGAAAGTCAAGGAGAAAAAAATGATACATCGAAGCGAAAAAAAATTGAAGTCAACACTGTTGATAGTTTTCAAGGCTCTGAATGTGATGTTATTGTAATGTCGTGTGTAAGAAGCGAAGGTATTGGCTTTGTTAAAGATCCTCACAGACTTTGTGTTAGCGTCACTCGAGCTAAGCACAGTTTAATTATGTGTGGTAATTTCAATACGTTCAGGGTAAGGAAATTTAATTAAATGTATATAATTTTTTAATATTAAAGACTTTATTATTCATTTTTTTGAAACTCTTGCAGATTAATGAAACATGGGAAAATCTTTTAAATGATGCTCAGTCTCGTGGTGTTTACGTCGATATTTCAAAAGATGGAATTCAAGCGATAACAAATCATATAGTTGTTAATCGTAATAATTCTTTCTTTTTTTAATTAATATTTGTATATTTTCTTTACTTTCTTTATGATTTTAATTACTACAATGCTCTTTTATTAAACTATATCATAATTTTATTATCAACTCAATTGTAATATTGATACTTGGTTTTACTTTTTTAATTCTTAATTTAAATGTATAAATTAATAAAAAAAAACAGTCAGATAATTATTCGAGAAAATTAATTATTACCATGAAAACGTCTATATATTTTTGATACTTTGAATGTAAGTAATTATTTTTTAATTCTACTTTAGCAATTTCTAAACATTGAAATGTATATTTTTCAAACTATAATTTTCCTGCGTAGCGTATTGAATTACTGTTTATAGATCAAAGCTGTTAGTGAATGCTAAAAAACAATAACCAGAACTCGAAGTCCGAGAAGTGAATATCAAAACGTCCTATATAAATTTCTTGGTTTTTCATATCATTTTTTTTAATTATCTAATATGGTTATATCACTTAGTTATAATTGCTGTCAAAAATGTATATGAGTTATTAATCTTTTTGTGTGTCAACTTAATGCAAGATGAATGCTGACGTAAGAATAATAATAATCAAGTATTTAGTTATATTTCAATTTCATACTGGTAAGAAACACGACAAGATTTGTGCACCTACGCCATCTGGATAATCGAAATCTGGGTAAAAGGAATACCCCTTTTAATATGAAAATGTTTTGTTTTACTACTACCTTCGCACTTATCACATAAGTCACGCATTGGTATGCAAATACTATACTATTGAAACACCAACATAGTAACTTGAAACCAACTTTGTGTTTCACTTATAACAATCGACGTTCGAATATCACATAAAAGATAAAAGTGTTGCAATATTTAATCTGTAGTTTTGTTACGATGTAAAATACAACTATTTAATTTATTAATTTTTGTGGCTAATCTTTGTTTTTACATTAGTTCTGTAAGTAAATATTATTATTTCAATGATTTATTTTTAATGATACTAAAATAAGCAGACATTTTACAATTTTTGATTTTTTAAGTTTATAAAAATTTTTTTTATACTTTTTTTCAATAAAAAAATTTTCAGATGTCGGCTAATTTAATTTTCATATACTTTTAACTGTGTAATTATTATTATTATTATTATTATTATTATTATTAGTATTTGGAACTCCCGGTGAAAAAAATTTTAGACTCATAGTTCTCACGCAATTCAAAGTAATAGCACGAAAAAAAAGATTCGTAATTTTTTTTGCACTCTTTTT